AGGTAGCATCCAATGACGCCCTTGGGCAAGAAATGTGTATCTTACGAATCTTGTGCCCTAAGTACAGAAACCTAAATGTGTAAAGGCACTTAGTTATCTTCATCATCCATTGAGGAGTCATGTTTTCTAAATACCCAAAAGCACCAAAGTAGAATTCGTTGTGTAAATGGCAGTAGACCATAACACCTGTGATGGTTTCAAGGTGTATCTATCATGCAGTCTTCATGTCAGGGTGGCTGCACGCAGCGACAGAGGCAGAGTCAATAAAACACCCAGAGAATTAGCAGGTCCAGGGAAGGGCTGAAGGGAGTTGCCAGGCAGGTTAATGGTGCTTTGCCCGCTAGAATACAGAGAACCACATGGAGAAGGTTATCCAGCTCTTGTGGTTTGGCCTCACCCTGTTTTGTAGCTGGAGGTTAAGGCAGAGTGGGACTACGGTGATTTGTCTCGACCAGCTGCATAAAATGCCTACGTTTGATCCAGTGGCCCTAGATATTTCCATGGAAGTCAGGTTCTGAACAGTGGAGAAGGATGCCAGGTTTCATATATTTATGTACTGTGTGCTGTGTTAATCTGGGAGGCGTAATGTAAGGTAGAAACTTGTTAAGAAATCGGGTCAGTCTTCATGTGTGCATGTGAGACGGGTTTCCCAGACTTTCCAGTTTGTTTGGCTGGTATTGAAATCCAGATACACTTTCTTTACTCGCAAGGTAGTCACCACACAGAGGCAGTTACTCCAAAAGGTATTTAATTCTCACCACAAAATACATGTGGTGTTTAATGGCGTGAACTACGACATACACAAGAGGGAACTGAAAGCCTCAATCCACTTTCCTTTGCGATTTCTGTCATCTGATTAGCAGGGTTGCGGTCAGTTTGATTAGGGAAGAAATGGGATCCAAAGTGTAAGCTTGAGAACTGCAGATGGGTCATATAGTATTTGGAAATGCATAATTACAGCTGTGTGGGTATATAGTACAGCTGGCGCTGTTACCCTGCGTTACTGGATTTGAGGTCTCATTCTATGACTAGTTGACGACACTTTTTGTCTGATAATAATTCTGCAAAAGGAGCTCTCTGAACCCCAAGTTTGGGGTTTTCAGTGTTTGTTTTTGGATAGTGAATTTACTGTCTCCTTTGTTTGCTTTCACGTTGAATATCTAAAAAGCCGTTAGAAGACAGTTCTCTAAAGTGTCAACATCTTCTTTTGCTGCCATCCTTTTTTTTTTTTTTTTCTTCCCCTCCCAGGAGTAACTAAAGCGTACTATATATTTTACTCTGGGTTTGTCACGATGTAATTAAAAGCTTCTCAGTAACTCTGTGCACAGAGAGTAGTTGGCACCTTCAACCTTTATCTTGGCCCTTCCGAATTGAAGTGTTAGGTTATTCATCTGCCAGAGTTCCAAATGTTTGGAGTTTCTTTTGTTTGTTTGTTTTTTAAAGTAGTTTGTCTTTTTAAGTTGCACTGATTTATTCTGTATTAACTTATCGTCTACATCCAGAAATTATCTTCCACCTCCCGGGCTATACCTACAACTCCTCTGCCGTGATGTACCCTCTCCCCCATCCCCTCCGTACTATTTTAAGATATAGTTACAAGTTATGTAGCATATTTGACAGGTAACATAATGATCAGTAACTATTCAAGTAATATCGGCATTTTTTCCCTACGGACTCTTTCAGGATTTCTCAGATTTGAAAGTGTCATAATCAGGATGATGAAACAGCACTTTGCTATATAGGACTGCATTCTGAAGCAAGATTTCCTTGGTGTTAAGCCATATGCTTTTTAAAATCAGAGGCCAGAAATAGCGCTTTTAGCGACAGTTTCTGATGCTGTCGTGTTCACCTTTGACCCCACAGCCAAGTTTTCAGTGCCTGGATTTTCTGACAAATTTTACACAGCTGACAAAATCGGATAGGTGAGCTTAGAAACGAGAGCATTTTGTCCTTTTCACGTTTAAATAGCTGTATTCCTGTTTCCTTCATCAAACCAGGGAGAGGAAGAAAACATGGCAGGTTGTTGAGAAAAGGTCTCTCTGTGTTTTAACGGTATCGGATAGTCTGTCCAAACATTAATGCAAATGTGGGACATTTTTTTTTCATTGTTACGCAGTCACGTTGCATTTTACGGCCTCGATGAAGGCCTGCTTTGAGAGAAGTACGCAGAAGTCAGGGACAGGTGATAGCAAGGATGGACCCGAGGGCTTTCACAGACGGGGAGCCAGGGCCGTGCCCCTTGAAAGCAGCTGGGGGTGAAGGGGAAGGTGGGGCCACGCACTTTTGTGTCATGGTGCCTGATGGGCAGCGGCGGCCCGCAAATGAGAAACCTTGTCATGTAGATGTGGCACCAAAGACGAACTACAAAAATACCACAGAGTCTTCGTGATGTTTTGTGAAATTACTGGAACACCCAGATTTTCTGCAGAGACAGCAACAAGAGATGGCGGTTTTAGTGAAAATCGGACAATTTTGGGCACTGCTATTGGAATTGGTAGACGCAAAAGGCCTTTGAAAAATCTGCTTTATATTGTCTACTAACTACTTAGAAATTTCTTGCTTGCTCTGTTTTGGTCTTGGGTGGCAAAATAAAAGAAGCTGTATCGACCAGAAGGAGGAATGGATTGGGTTTCTCTTAGTGCAAAGCCTTCTAAATAATAGCTTGCTTAATTTCATAAAGCCGGTGTAAAACACAAGAGGTTTGGGAAGAGAAGGATTGACCTACCTGAGAAAGTTACTAGTGTGAGATTGCCAGATCGGTAGCTAGATAATAGAATCTGTCCTGGAAATCATAGAACTGGTAGAAAAGTGTATCCATGATAAATAGCTGAAAATGAACAGTAATTTCAGATTCACATTTAACCACCACATAGGTGTAAAGGATTTAACTACTCCAGTGAATTACTACACTGGCCATTTTCAGTATTTCTTTCGCCACAGTCGCATTATTGTTCTGCAAAGCTCTGGGAGAAAAGGGATATGTAGCTTGCATCCTGCCAATTTAATTCAAAGGAAAAGTCTGGACTTCTGATCTGTTTCTGTGTTTAGTCTTTTTCCCACTTCCTTGGTTTCTTCAGAGCTGGCGCTGAAGAAATCATTGGGCTAATTACTACAGATTCATTGAGAAATTTCGCGCTGCTTCCTACCATTCCGTGGAACGGAAGGTGTCTGCTTGGACAGAAGACAAAAGTCTTCTTTTGAGAGAAGACGTGCATGATGTTAGAGGTCATGGTGGAGAGACCACGTAACCATATGTAAAAAGGCATATAATCGTGCCGAATAAACCAGTCACCTTGGATGAAGAGGAACTTTTATGTTTAGGTTCTTCCCAGAGCCTGACTGCTTACTCCACTGTAATAAGCTGAAACTTAGGAAGGAAATTCGAACGCAGTCCATTACGTTGGCACTCTGTTTTCTCTTTTCTAAATTAAGTCTTAAGTCTTTCCAGGAGTTTTCCTAGAGACTTCATTGCTGTAAAAAAGAGCAGAAGTCTTACTCGTCCTCTGTGTTTACCACGCAGGTAAACCTTTTATCACCCTTTCTTCCGTGGCATGCTCGCGTTGATTCCCAGTGGACTGGTGATCCGCTGACACTCCAGATGGCTTCTTACTGTCTTGTCGTGTAGGGACTAACTCTGCTTAAATCTGCATGTTTGATTTTCTTACCTCAGCGCATGTATCCTTTTTAAATTGCATCTACTGTGTCTTTCTTACTTTTCTCAACGTATTGCCAAGTCTGGCTTCCCGGCCTATCTACTTCTCCTTCCGCATCGGTGTCAAATTTATGTTCGTTAAGGATTCCCTGTTTTCCTTCATTCGAGTCATAAAGAACTGAGCAGTGCAGAAACTGAGGCAGATGGCAGCAAAACCATGTTCCTTCTGTTTTTTCCTTGGTTGTGACCGTGGCCCTTCAATAACCGGGTCATCCCAGAGTAAGTTGTTCTGACTGTTTTGCGGTTTCCTTGCCGGTACTATGTCTATACTGTGTGTTCTTTAGGTAGCTTATGAAAATATGAAGGGAGGCCGTTTCAGAAGCCTGTCTGAACATACATGGTATTCATAGCTTCTAACCTTTCTGGAAGGCACAAAAGCTTATTTTACATTGGTCTGACAATACTTAGCCTTGAAAAATCACAATAATCACCTGGATGAGGGCCCTGGTGTTCTTCAGGAAGTCAAGAAATGTCCAGTCGATGCCCATGGACAGGGAGCCCTTGCCTCATCGAGGCCCAGCCTGAATGCTAAGTGGATGCAAGTCGGGGACACTCAGATGGACGCGGGACTGGGGTTGGCCGAGATCTCCAGGCCGCATCCGTTGCTGAGCTTTGATCGGAAGAGACAGGAGCAAAGAGGTGGCTGTATCGGTGGGTCTGTACTGGTTTGGAGTTAGTGCCTCTTCTGCACTGTCCCCAGAAAACCCGTAATTACAGTGAGAGCTGTTAGGATTTGCTGTGCTAGAAATTGGGACCAACAATGCTAGCGGTCAGTGCCTGAAGCTCTTGACTTTAACGTGACAAAAACCGCTCGGGTAGCAGTTTGGAGCTGACAGTCATAGCGAAGCTATGAAATGCTGATTGTTTGATGGTGTGAGATACCTAAATTTCTGACCAGATAATCCATAATAAGTGTCTTAATACACCACTGTGCTGAGCTGTCTTTGAACATATTGACTTGAAAATTCCTGTAAGGGAAAGGAATGTAAACTTTATGTAACCACGGAAAAAGCAAACGGCACAAGTAGGCTCTCAGGATCCGTATCCTTGGGATTTGGCATAGGTTGTGCTGCCAGTATGAAGAGATGGCGTGACATCTTTCTGGTACCTCAGCATCCATTTGATGCTGAACTGAAAAGAAATGATTGGACAGAGCAGGCAACGTAGTTAATGTTGCTTCTGTATGTATTAATTGTTTTGTTCAGGGGAGTTCTGTGACTAATTTGTATGGATGGGATTTAATCTCAGTTTTTGAATAACATCGTAGTATTCTTTGTTTCATTTGAAGGGGTAGAGGGCCACTGAAGAACACCTCCGATGTCATTAACGCAGCAAAAATGATTTCTGAGTCGGGATCAAGGATGGATGCCCTGGCACGGCTGATTGCCAATCAGGTAGGTTATTTATTCAGCAACGCATTGAACTTTATTGCAGATGAACCCATCTGCAGAGCTCCGACACCCGAGAAGGTCCCTTACAAAAGCGTTCCTGACGTTTAGATCTGATTTTCCTTCTCGATTTCTGAAGCAATGACTACATGGATTGTCTGTTAATTGTATGTGTGGATTCTCTTCTTTGTTACGTGTGTGTCTTTGTATATACACTTACACAGAGAAATATAGATGTACATAGATCACCGATATATATGTATGTATATTTATCTGCATATATATTTGTACAGGTGTAGATTTGTGAACTTGTGTAAGGTATGAAAGCGACAGATTTGACATATAGTATATAAGACTATAAATGTCTGCATGTATATATAGATACATAAAACCCCCTATATTTGTAGAGAGAGGTAGGTCCTTTAAGGTAGGAATGTAACAGGAGACATACAGTATACTACTGCCTTCTTGACCTGCTTGTGTAAATTACCTAGAAACAACGCAGGTTGTTGCAGGCGAGTCAGTTTAGGTGTGGGAACACAGGGTTGTTGCAATGGCGTAGAGTTCTGCTGAGGGGGCTGACTGGTCAGGACAGGTGCTAGAGCTCAGCACTGCCATCAGGAAGGTTACAGACCTCTATTCTCTGTCTTGGTAATTACTTGTTTTCCAGCCTCATCTCTCTCTAGATCTGTATACTTACTAGAACCTGTGCTTTTGCTGCTTGACCTAGGTTATCTTTCTTCCGTCTTTGTCCCCCAGCACTGTCTGAGTCTTTGGACTATTGGTGTCAAAGGGTTTTGTAGGTAAACACTTCTCTGGATAGTCAGAACCAGATAGTCTTGTGACTTTGAAACGGGTCCCATATGCTTTACAAAAGTTTTCCTGAAAGTAAATTTTTAAAATCATCCTTGGAAGTGAATAGTGGATAGATATGATGCAAGCAGATGTGCTGAAGAGATCTTCTGCCTACAGGATTGTCTTACCTAAAAGCTTACAGGTAACAAAGAATTGCGGAAAAAAAGGGAGGAAATCAAAAGCAAAGTAAACCCAGCATTGTTTACAGTCAGAAAATCCTGCAGCATTGTCTTGATGCTTTGTGCCACCGCTGTGCCGGTGGCTTTTTCACTTGGAATCGTGAATGTTGGTGTTGGTGTGTTCGTAATCGCCGTGTGATTTGTCAGAGAACTCGGGAGGTTTCTGCGAATATTTCTGTTAGTGAAAAACTGCTGCGTTGGTTAGGGAAAGACCTCATTAACACCCCACTACTGTCAATCAGTATGGAAAAGAAGGTCTAATCATTTGTCAGGATCTCTGGCTCAGACTGTGAGCAGGCATTAAACTGGCCACCATCCATTGCTCGTGGGATGAATAAACTCAGGATTTATTCAATGTCCTTCAGTTGCAGCCCTGTGTTTGGTTTCGGTAGCAATAACAATAAGGAAGTCTTCTCCTAATAATGCTGAGAGTTTCATTGTTTTGAAAGTGACTGACCATAGAACTAGTGTTTTCAGAGAACTATTTTAACCTCGTGCTCTTGTTCTAGAGCGACAATTTCCTCTTCTTTGTAGCATATTATCTTAAGCATTCCAAAACTGTTATAAATGAGTAGAGAAGAGATGTCTAAGGAAGAGAGGTAAATGTGACTGGCCTGCCAATGATAGTATATGAAAGAGTGCTATGTATGAAGGGTAGATTATTTTTGTCTCTGTACTTCAGTAATTGACGTTGTCAGTATGTGAAGTGGATGAGACGCTATATCAGCACTCTATCTGCCTGTTTCTTGAGTTTTTCCAGTGGAAAACAAAAGATGAAATCACAGCATAGTTAAAAATGGACAAGGAAGCATCTCATTGCAGGAAATCTACCGTGTCTGGATATAATTAGTTGTGATGCTTAAAGGGATTATAGATAGGTGCATTAGGCAAGAGGGACAAGTTCTTAACAATAAAAAAGAAATAGGAGTTAATAATCTAGTTTTCTAAAGAGTTGCTGAGACCCCAGTGTTTCACTACTGAGGTGTGTAATTCTTGAAAGTAGCACAGAGGAAGGAAAAAAACAGATGTAAGGTCACGTATTTTTCTGTTAGACACTAATGCTTTGAAAACGTCACACTCGAAAGAGCGCATGTCAAGTGATTGTTTTATTTTTCTTCTAAAAGATGCCGAAGTACAGAAAGCATTTTGATAATGGATGGAGCAGAACATGAGGTAGATTATGATGTTGAATCCATAGTAATGAATTTAAAATTGGTCACTCTGATCTTTCTTAGTCATTCTTATCTTTTGCTAAAGGTAAAACATGAACTTGTTTTCCTAACCAAGCACAGTCATGGAGAGTAGAATTGTCACACCCTGATTTTAAGCAAGTGTCATGTTTCTTCATCAAAGGCAGTAGTTCAGGTAAAGCGTGTCATGAATTCGATAGAATTGGTGACTTTTCTGACTCCTGGCAGGTTTTGGATTGAAACACGTCAACTGCAATTCCATAAGCTTGAAAAACTACATGGTAATGCATAGAATTTGAATAGTCTGTGAAGTATTAATGCGATAGTAGAGAGAAAATTTCGAATTAGCAAACGTAATGCTGTAATGGTTCATGAAGTGTTCTTTTGTTATGGTTTCAGTGTCCAGACCAGTCGTGCAAACAGGATTTGTTGGCTTACCTTGAACAGATCAAGCTCTACTCCCATCAGCTCAAAATCTGCAGTCAAGTTAAAGCAGAGATCCAGAACCTGGGTGGAGAGCTCATCATGTCTGCTGTAAGTAGAGAAATGGAAAAAGCTACTCTTTGTATCAAAAGAAATTTAAAATGTGGAGTCGTGCGTTCCTGTGTGTATGTAAGAATGTGTACCCCTGTAGTTCTGAAGGTATTCTTTTCTTTGCTGGTTTTTATTGTCGCTTAAAGACAGTGAAGTGTAAGCCCGGCAGCCTAACAGGAGGACTAAGCATTTGTAGGTGTTCGGTTTTTTTAAATTCCTAACGGTTCCTGTGGAATAATTTGGCTTTAAGGGCTGTCAGACATTTTAAGCTAGTGGATCATTTAGTGACACATACGGAGTGTGAATGGAGTAGCATCTAGAGAAAAAGAAATCCACAGGGGATTAATTGCAGTTGAGATGGTAAATCTGTGTGTTGAGACAAAGATAAAAAATAGAGTATGGTAACTTGATGAGGTTTCTTGGTATTATATAGGTCTAACAGCCCTTAGCTGTAGTGCAAGTAAATGATCCGTTAGGATTTAGTGGAAGTAGTATGTGCTTGTGCTAAAGGGGATAATGCACAGTTATATACCATCAGCTGTGTTAGTTTGTGTTTTGTCATGACACAGCTGGGGAGCCTGCCTCAAACAGACAGAGGACTCAAAGAACACAATACATACAGTTTATTTACTGTGATGCAGCTTCCACCTCACAATCTCTACCTGAGAAATATGCATATAGTCTCTCATTTCCCTTTTCCCATTTTCATTGTCGAGCACAATTCCCTGCTGGATTTGCTGCAAAGGTCCTTCCTCTTTTTTCTCCTGCTAGAATGAGACTCACTGCATGAGACGTTCTTGACCCTTTTCTTCTCTCCCCTGTATGCTCACAGTGCAAAGTATCTATTCCTGGTGCTAAGTTTTATTTCTAAAAATTAAACCCCAAATTTAACATCATTTATCATCTGAGAGTGATAACTACAGTTCTTCATCCTGTTTTAAAGGAGGAGGATGATGACATACAATGTGTGCATCTGGAAACTCCTGCTCGGGGAAATCATTGCAAGTTCCTATAACCCCTAAACTCGGTCCCGTTTCAATCAACACACCTAAACACATGCTTAGCTTCGAGTCAGTGCCATTGAAGAACACCTCTACGGTCCTCAGCAGTTCTGGAAGTGTTGTGCAAAGTAAAAGTGAGATGCTGTAAATTCTGGTTGATATTCTGTCAAAGCATTCTTGGAAGCTGCTCCAGCAGTGGGGGTAGTTCTTTTCCTTAATACAGGTATTAGGGTTAGGCCTATAAAAGAGAAAAACTGTCAGCTACTGACTGCTTCAAGGGACCTGTGCTCTCAACCAAACCCTTTTAAAGTCACTGGACACTTTAAAAAAAAAAAACTTTGGTAACATTACCAGAAAAGTCTCACAGGTGTTAGTGATTGACTGCGCTCAACTGTCCCTTTCCATTTAAAATTGCAATTCTGTGAAAAAGGTACCAGACTACATAGATGGCTTTCCTGTAAGGCTTCTCCTAATCTAGGTGCACGTGAGCTATTTGTGTTTGGCTTGCTTCAATTTTCAGAGGATAGGGGACTTACTTAAATATACGTTGTATCAATAAAACTCTAAGAAGAGAGGGAGAGATATGCACTCCTGATACAAAAGGGCAGATTACTTAATTGCTGTTTTTAAAAGCCAGAGCAAATTCTGGCTGTGGATGTTCACGTGGGGGCTTCAGCTTTTGATCATTTAACTTACCTAGCCATGAAAAACAGTCACAAAACAAAGTTCTCCCTAAAAAAGCACTGAGGTTCTTTCTCTCTCCCCTGCCCCCACCTTACACACATGCACACACGCAGAAGATCTGGGAGCACAGTAAGGAACAAATTATAGAAATGATGCCAATAGAATATCTGTGCACTGATTATCTGTCAGGCAGCTGCTCAGCCAGCTGATGTTCACTCGCCTGTCTTCAAGGTTTTCTTTGCCTTTTGGGCAAGGCTACACAAACCTCTGCTTTGGTCATACAAAATGAATAGCAAAGTTATTTTCCTAAGGAGCCCAAAGCATCGCCGGAATGGGACGATCTTCTCCCTTGTCTTGCTATTCTTTCCTTTATCTGTTTGTGCTACTAAAAACTCAGATTCAGAAAAAGAGACATCAAACATGGTTAAGAAAATAAGAGTGTACACCCTTGCAGATAGTAAAGATCGGCTACAGAGAAAAAAAGTTCTTAGCAAGGGCATAAGGGAATAAACGTAAAGGTTGCCTCTTTTTTTCCTTTTTCTCTTGCCCTGTGATTTCACTCTTCTGTAGCTGTTGACATGTATGCTCAGCATCGAACTACCTAAATCACAGTCCCTCCTCCACTGTCTGTCTACAGCTCCTTGAAGTTCCCTTTGGTTATATCTGTCTCCCCCCACGAGCTGCAGTAGGTGTATGCAAAGAGTGGAGGAGGAAAGCTCCTCTCCGGGGAGAAATAATGGATTAACATGTTCTGACTCTTCATACCTACCTGCTGCTGCTCTGGCGACTCACCTTTGCTGCACAAAGTGAGAATAAGCAAGCAAAAGCTGATGCCAGACCACACATAAAAACTCTGTTGTACAGCTGTACGGTGGCATTTGTATCTACCGCACGCTTCCCTCTCTGTGCACGAGGCTCTGAGAGTTCCTTTGGCCTCATGGAATTTTAGGGTTTTTTTTTGCACAAGAAGAGCAGTTCATGAAAAAAACCTGTTGAAGCCTAAAGACCAAGTCAGATGAGAGAATAGAGGGATGAGGAGCAGAGGACATATTTGTGGATCTCTAGAAGAAACAACTGTCTACGTAAAGTTGAGATAAGTCACTACTTACGTCTTACCTGTATCATCCTCTGGATAAAGCTACAGAGGAGAAAGTAAAGCACGTGTGAAACGGCATTCCAGGTGAACCTTATATACTTCCATGTAACAGGGGCCAGTGATGCCAGGGTGTAAGGGCACCACTGCCTCTCTGAACAGGAAAATGGATTCTCACCTCTAGAAGCACTGTGCCTAAGGAGGTGCTGGTGCACGTACACGTAGTTCTATTCAGGACTTACCCTGTGAGAGCGAAGAGCATTACACGTGAGAATAACTATGTTGCTATCCCCAGACACCGCTCATGGTCTTTCACTGCCTCTATCACAGTATCTTCTGCAGTTGATTTTCATCTGTGCCCCCCATATCTTAGACTTCCCTGTAACATTTCTTACTTAATACCCCTGCCCTATCGTTACTGTAGGTTACACGGGCCACTTTGCCCAGGGTAGCTGGAATGCTCTGGGGAGTACCGGCACGTAGCCCTCCTAACTCATCTCCTTTTTTGACTTGAGGCCGTATCATCTCGTTTGCTCCTACTGTAGTTACGTGGACACCCGCCCTTCTCCCTGCCCTGCCTGAGCTCTGGTACCTCCGTTCTGGTCAGCAGCACTGTAACGCTCAGTGCCCTGGTTAGGGTGGTTGTAAGAGGGTCACATACAGAAAAACAGGCAGACGTGTGTGATTCACTACCTTCTAATTCTTCGTTTAGCAGCAGTTGTGGGGTTTTTACATTCATTAAAAATTCTTTGAGCAGTACTTAGTCTCTCACGCTCCCATAAAATACTTAAAATAATGTGACTGGCGTTGCTGATACATAAACTGCATGAGCAGAAATGGTGAGGATTTGGTAGCTCTTCACTCCATGCGATTAGATGGAAAATGGACTATTCCTTCTATTAATTAGAATACATTTGTGCTTCTTCAGACACTACATAATGGTGTGCCATCTGCAGTATGCAGATTGATAGTAATTGCATCCGTTTCTGTAGATAATCTGATAATTTCTTTACAAGTACTGCACTGTGACGGGCTTACATGTTGACAGCTTGCTTTTCTTCCAAATGTGGCTTTAAATAAAGAGATTTATATCACAGAGCAGAAAAATCATCTATCTTACAGGGGATCATCTCGCTCTCTGACTTGAGCCAGGCATTTCCATTTTGTGCTATTCATAGTCACTATTCCTTGTATTTCGTTGTCTATTGTATTTGGCAAGGGACACCAAGGTTTTTGGCCTTACAGAGGCAATAGAAATCGGGAAGAGATGGTTCTCAGAGTTACAGTAGCACAAATTCTGATAAATGGCACAGAAGAGATCTCTCAGGTTAGCCAGCCTGACCTTGACCTGTACACTGGAGGTTGGCTGTTTCACTCTATTTTTCCTGCAGTTGCCTTGTTTCATTTCTCTTTGCCTCTTCCTGTTGGGATCTCAGGACCTAGACTGACTTGAACAGTGATCCAAGTCCACTTTTGTGGCAAACATAGGTGCTGTATTACTTCCAGCTTTGTGCTTCGAGGCTGGATTTCAAGGTTTAGGTCACTTAACGGACTTAGAACTGACTTCCCATGCCACTTACCTCAGAAGTTGCCTCCATGAAATGAACAGGTTTCGGCTTTGAAGGCTGTGTACCACAGGTAAAACCGCATGGAGTCCAAGCTATGAGCTAGCATGTTGGACGATAAGAGGTAGGCTTTCTGGAGCTGCCACCAGGCCTTAGGCTGACATGGTCCCCATCCTTGGCTAGCCCTGCCCCAGGAAAATCACACCTCAGCCAACACGCGAGTGCTGTGGCAGCCGGCAAGCTGCTCAACGCCTTCGTTACAGTTGGAGCTTTTCAGTTTCTGCTGGAGAGGAGCCATACAGCAGGAGCCAGCTTTTTGCTGAACTGAACCCTTTAGGAGCTGCTCCTTTGGCAGGGGAGGGGATGGGGAGCAGCGCGTTTCAGTTCCTTTTGGGGTTCCTCTTTGGGTTTGCTCTTTCCTCCTCAAAGAAAAGCCCAGATGGGCAGGACGGCTTCCTAGCTGCAGGTCCTATAGGACTGAAGCGTGGGAACAAAGGGCTGAGCAGCAGGCTGGCGATCATGCAGAAATATCAGCTACTGTAACAGCCCACGGGATTTATTAGAGGTTGACTCTTGTACTGCTGCGTGACCTTCAGCAAGGCAGTGTCTCCTCTGCCTGGCTTTAGGTCCGCAGCCGCTGTTCCGACAGAGCCGACG